TAGATCATTTATTTATTTATTTATTTATTCAAAATGGGCAGTTTGAGAGTTTTGTCAAATACAGATCAGTTAGAAGAAGAAACATTCATTCATAGGTCCTGGAAAGCACGAGCATTTTCCTGTAACCAGTCCCATAAACAAATCACAACAGGTTTGGTAGCCACTTTCATAGAGTGAATCCATGAAATTTGCCCATCTAATCTCAGCATTTGCAGATATGTGGAATGAGGGTTTCAGAGCTGCTTAGGGGATTTGGATACCTAAGCCATGTTAATTTTAGGCACAGCTGTGAGTTGACAGTTTAAAAGTCTCAGCCAAGGTATCTCACAGTAGACCTACCCAAACATCCCCCCTGCCCTAAGTGGTTCCACCTGGTGGTTGAAGAGGAACACCTATTACAAGGCAGAGAGAATTGCACCCATTTCTTTTATTGTTGTTTGTTTTTCCATTGCAGATTGGCAAGATCCCCGATGCGAGCAACACCAGTGTCTGTGCACTTGCACGTAAAGATTTCTCCACAGCGCCAGAATGGCAATAAAAAGAACTAGTGAAAATTTGATTTTAAACAAATAAAACTTGGAGAAATGCCATTGAGTTAACCTGTGAGAGATTTTTCTGAAAGTAACATCTCAGGGCACGCCCCAAAAGTGGGAATGTACGTTTCCCCAGGGACAAACAGCAGTGGCACAATATGTACCGCTGCTATTTGTCCCTGGGGAACCCCCATGCATGCATGCTGTGGTGCGTACCATGTTGCCCTGGGTGGACTAGGGGAGGCCAGGACCAGCACCTTACCTGGGGGCCTCTGGGGGCTGCAGCCACAGCAGTCCTGCAGCACGGAGCTTGGCTGGCAGCTGGAGTGTGGCTCCAGCTGACCGGGCTTGGGTTTCAGGTGGCGTGTGCTGCTGCCATGTGTGCCGCCCTGCTTTTTTTTTAGGTGTAGGGCTTTCTGACACCAGGATCTCCTGATATCTACTCCCCCCTCCCCGCCTGCACTGCAAATGAGCTGTGCGGGGACCACCTGCGTGTGCAGTGCATGCATTGTGCGACACCGCACACTGCATGTGCACATCTGTTTGGACATGCCCTCAGAGTATGAAAGGAGAGGGCTAGCTCCTTGGCTGTTGAGCATCAGCATAACTTCCTTGAAGTCCTGTAATTCACACGCACAATGGTATTTGCCATCTCATATTCTTATACAATTTGGAATAGGTTGCTGGTGTGAGGTTTCATGCTGCACACGAAGCATAGCTCTACCAATACAAGTCTGGCAAGTGTCACAACCCAAAGTTGTGGTTTTTTGTTTTTGAGTGCTTCGGCACCGCTAAATTATGTTCCCACCAAAATGCAGCTTTTTTGCACGGTAGAGTTTTCTGCTGCAATAGGAGAACCCGCGTGCAAAAGAGTATTTCCCACCATTTGTAGCCTTCTTTGCATGGTGCATTTCTTTTGCATCATAGTGATGCACGGTGCAAAGGAGTTCCCGCCATTTGTATTTAGATTTGTGCCACATTATTGGACGGTTCTAAATGTAGGCATACGTGGCAGCTAGCTATTGGCTTGCTAGCCGTACAAAAGGCTTGGGTAGTTTCCGCCCAAGTCGGAGAGAGAGGAAACCTGGAGAGATACAGAACTCACCAGGAGGAGGAGACTTCTCGCTGTGTGAAGGTCTCCAAGCGATGTGGACCCTTGCGGACCCAACGCACCTTTCTTAAGCAGGCAACGGAGGTCTGTTTAGCTTCTAGCCTCTCCCCGTCACCGAGCGCAATCCTAGACGTATCCCTATCCTATATACACAATTTTCGAACCCACGGAGTCTTAACAGCTCCGGGGGACCTGGGAACCGAACAGAACCCACGGAGATTCAGCCACTCCGTGAGGAAAGAATTGCCAAACCCGCGGAGCCTAAACCACTCCGGGGTCAAAGAACCGAGTTTGTCAGTCCTCCAACGAGGATTCAAGCGGAGCTGCGCCTGGAAAGCTGTCCAGCCTACACCGCGACCACCTGGGGTGTAAGTAAATAATCTTTTCAATCAACCATTACGCCTCCGTAACTGATTCTAGCTCGTGCGTACCTTACCGCCCCACGGTTTTCTCCGGCCCCACGTGCCCGGGCTGCTGGCCACAGTCCGTGTGCGCAAAGACAGGCCCGGCTCACACGTGGCGAGGATGGGATCAGGAGCTGGCCCGCACAACAAGTACCAGGAGTTTTGCGCTGGTTCACATACACCAGTGGCGGGCCAGCAGTTGCGGAAGTTATGACAAATTTCCAGGTTAGACAGCACCCTAGACTGGGCATGACTTCCACCTATTAGCATAAGAGCATAATCTTGCATTTTATTGCACAGTAACACACATGCCACTGCAGATATTTCAATTTGAGGCAAATTTTATGGGCTTAAGCAATTACCGGTGCTCGTCGTTAGAAGTCAATGAGCATTTAAATTATAGATCTTTGGTTTCTTTATCTGATCATTTCCTCAATGAAAAGATTATCATGGAACTTATATTTCACCTAGCTATCTTCAGTCCAGAAGCTGCTTTTCCTGAATAATTAAAGGAAAACTTCAACGTTTTTTGGCAGTAATGCTGGCTGAAGATTTTTTTTTCCAGTTGTTCAGAATCTTTTCAGCTTTTGATGACATAAAACTATTTTGGGGAATAAAACAGAAAGGTCAGATGGAGGAAAACCCCAGTTCAGAACTTAAGCCTCCACTTTAAAAATTTAGCTTGGGCTCCAGGTTCATAGGTTGGTGTGGGAAACATAACTCTGAATGTCCTAACTTTTTTATGACCCTGAACAACCTGTAGCTGCTAAACGCAGTTGGGAATATATAGATTTCTATGATATTTAAACCTTGTAACACTAGAACTGTGAAACAGGTCTGATATCCACAGAAACATGACAGCTTTGAAATCCGCTTTTCTTTTTTTTTGTTTGCTGACCAAGACTAAACTAAACTTCATCCACTGATCCTCTTAAAAGATCTTTTTTCATCTTTTTGGATTAGGAGAAACTTGATTAGCACCTTTAAGGTGTGATCATTAAGAATATTGGAATTCAAAACCTTTTAGGTCTATTAGAAGCAGCTCTACTTTTCCAGAGAGATATTTATTATAATGGAGAATTTCAAAAGCACCTAAAGGATTTAGTAATACAACACTGATTGTGAGAAGGGTTTATGCTTCTAATTCTCTTGGGACTTGTCTACCTAGGAAAGGTTTACCAGGTACACTGAAACAGATGCTGTTTCTTATGTGGAAACTCTTCCTAACATCCAAGAAGGCTTTTTCTCACTTTAGCTTTACTTGAAGCAAACAAAACTAACCTCAGAAGACACCATGATTCCAGAATATAAGTGTCTATATCAGCTGTTCTCAAACTTTTTGGACTCAAGGCACACCTCTTTAGACTTAAGGCACCCACTTTTAGTTCTAACTTGTTTTTTGACTATCAAAAAAATAAAAGGACAAGTTTCCTGTTGCAGAGAACTTAAAATTCCCACAGCAGGTCAGAATGCTTTTAACATCATGGTTTCCTATTTGAAATCTCTGGGTGCATCTAAACGAGTGTGCACTTGCAGTTTGTGGCACTACAGACCAGTCTACAGCATGGCAAACCACAAGCATTGCACATGCAGGCATTTGCCACACTGCTAATTTGCAGTGCAGTGGGGTTTTTTGACACTGGGAGATCCTGGTGTAAAAAAACCCCATGCCAGAGAAAAGTGGGGTGGCGCATATGGCAGCAGTTTGCGCTGTCCAGAACTGGAGCCTGGTCAGCCAGAGTCATGCTCTGGCTGCTGCCCAGGCTCTGCGTGCCTGGATCACCGCTGTTGCAGCCCTGAGAGGCCCCCAGGTCAGGCTGCTGGGGCCAGGCCAGGTGCTGGTCCCAGTCTCCCCTACCCCATCCCAGGGCAACTTAACACATGCCAAAATGGGCATGCAGGTGCGTTCCCCAGGGACAACTAGCGGTGGCACCAATATGTGGAATATGTCCTGGGGAACATATTGGTGCCACCGCTAGTTGTCCCTGAGGAACGTTCCCGCTTGTGGGGACACACCCTCTCTTTATCTTATGATCATGTTTGCATACCTAACAGTGCTAACATTGCATAGCACCCCTGAAAAGAACTCAAGGCACCCTTGTTGAGAATTGCTAATCTATATGAAGAGTGTACTGGTATAACTATCCTTTTAAAAGCTTAGGTTATACTTGAAAAACCTGCATAGATTAAAAACTAAAATAATGTTGAAAATCTTGCCCCATGATCACTTTACTGGCCTGCTTTAATGATAGAATTACCCCAATACTCTGAGGCTTAAAAAAAAGTTGAGATTGATATATGATACACTAAGGACAACATTTTAAAAACTGGGGATATGCAGCTAGATTCCTGCCTAGGTTGATTCATAAACATTTTGATTTTCAAAAGTACTGAGGACCCAGGGGCTGCCAACAAAGTCAGTGGGAGCTGTGAGATATTGTTCAGTTTTTCTGTAAATTGTAAAATATGAACAGTAGCGGTGTCTCTCTTGACTGTCTTGGGAACTACTGAATGCATGGAAAATGAAGCTATTATTTAAGGGTCAGATTTTCTGAAGATCGCAATTCTTGTTTAGACACCTGAATGAAATGCCCAGTGTTTTAAAAAGTCTCAGCACCCAGAAAATTTTCATGAGTCTTGATGGGAGCCATAGCAGCCATGCCCATTTGAGAATCTGGCACTGTTTTAAGTGTCTAAATTGAACTGGGCTCTTCTGAAAACCTAGCTCTGGTACTGGCAACTGAGCCCTTGGCTTTGACAAACACCTGTAATACAATGACAATGTTCCCACCCATGGAGTTAATCTTGACCATTTAGTCAACGGAGCATAACATGGTGATAAATAACCCCATTGAAGCATGTGATGGTTCCATATCGTATTACTCTCTATCCATTTAAGAGCTCTGTTCCAAGTGGAGCTTATTTAAGCTCTCTTTGCTTCATACACAAGCGCTCTCACCAGGGGAAAGATCAAGTAGGTAGCAACAGGAGAGAGCATGCGATGGGGAATACTGTATGTTGGCGTGGCAAACTGCATTTTACTATGAAGAAAAAAATGTCTAAGTATATCTGTCTCTATTAGGAGGTCGTGCTCGGTAAGAAATATTTTCATGATTTTGCATTTTGCTATGAGGAATTTGTCTCTCAGGTTTTGTTTAACTGATTATAAATTTTATATTGCTTTTACAGCAGTAGGATCTAAATCTAAATACTAGTAGTGGTAGTAGTAGGAATAATAATAATAACAACAGTTAAGTAAACCAAACCCTGATCTTGCAACTGTGTTAGTACTTGTGGATATCTTTGTGTGGATCTGGTATAAGACAGAAGCCTGAGAATCATGCTTTTTTGGTAGATGGGGAAAAGCTTGTAAGCATGGGCTTGCCTACATGGCTAAATTGGTCTGAATAGCTCCCTGTAACTCCCCCCCCACCCCCCCACAGGGATAATGTGCACACTTTGTTCTGGAGTAAGAATCACTTCTTCCATGGTAAATCATGTAGCTTGTGAGCACACTTATTATTCCAGAATATAGCATCTTTTATTATAGAACAGAGTATCCATGTGGAGAGCTCTCCCAGAACAGTTAGTGCATGCTGGTAAAATTAGCTAATGAAAACTCATGCATGGGTTGACTCAATGTTACATTTTTGGTGTTAAGATCCAGATGCCTGCCTAACTGGTAGGAATTGAAAAACTACTTGTTCAGTTTAAGACCTAGGCATTTTTATTAAGGCAACAGTCATGAAAGACTTAGGCTTGGGACACAGTTTACTCTTTCGGAACAAACTCTTAATTTACCTCAGATTCGAGGATTTGGGAATTGCTATCAGTTGAAAAAAATCTTGACTCTGACAAAGGCCAACCCTTCCAAATTTGAGCACCTAAAGTTAGACACTTGAATTTATACAGGCAGTCCTTAGACTTATGACACAATTGGTTCCTGAAAACCGAATCTTAAGTCGAAATGTTGTAACTCGGAACTGATTTTCCCATAGGAGACAATGTTATAAATGGGGGATTGGTTACCGAACCAAGATCCGATACACTATTTTCACCAAAAATACTCCAGAACTTTGTAGTTGATCAATTATAGATGAGTAATACATATCCATTAATGTATTTATATTGTAAATAGCAATCATGTTGATTTGGAAGGACATCTTTGAGGAGACTTTGCTAGACTTTTTGAAGGGCTCTTGGTTGGATTTTTTGAAGGGTTCTTGGCTGGAGTCTTCTCAGGAGTCCTGGCTACAGGTTTTTCTGGAGTCTTGTCTGCTTTCTTAAAGAAAGTGTCCAAGGAAGTTTGGACAGATGTTCTCCAGGGAGATGAGTGACGCAGCAAACTTATTTGCTGGCATGGCTTGGTGTCAGATCAAGTGTTGTAAAGTTGAAATGGACATCAGAAAGTTGAAACAGGGTGTCAATTTATAAACATTGTAATTGTGAAACGTTGCAACTCGAAATGGTGTAAGTCGAGGACTGCCTGTATTCACAAGGGTTTGCTGATGCTGAGAAGGGTGAGATTCAGTAGAGCACAACTATGTTGGGTGTATTGCCAGATAGTCAGCCTTTCAGTGAGTAGGGTGGAGATGGATCTCTTATATCCAGCTGTCCTTCAGGTAGCTAAAAGGGAAGAGTGTGAGTTAGGGCAGCTGTGGGAGTAGAGACCTTTTAGCACAGATGTTGCTGTTCATTTTTGGGGAGGACTAAACATTCTCATCCCAGCTTCTCCCTGTGTTCCTCCACCAGACAAGAAAAGTGCGCTCCTGCCAAGCCCATCACAGTTTTGCTGATTCTAGTAAGGTTCAGTGGAGGGGCAAACTCCAGCCTCTTGTTCTTGCTACATGGGCCAAACTTCCGCAGAGCAGGAAGCCAGGGCAGGGGAAGCCTCCCCAACAGACCTAGTAGATACACTGGAGGGTAGAGCTAGGATTCAGAGAGACCTAGACAAATTGGAGGATTGGGCCAAAACAAATATCATGAGGGTTCAGTAAGGACAAGTGCAAATGTCCTTCACTTAGGATGCGTAGGTGTTATAGTGGACAATATGCCGAATATGAGCCAACAGTGCACCCCTGTTATGAAGAAGGCTAATGGCATACTGGGCTGCATTAGTAGGAGCTTTGCCAGCTGAATGAGGGAAGTGATTATTCCCCTCTATTCAGCACTGGTGAGGTCACATCTGGAGTAGTGTGTCCAGTTTGGGCCCCCCACAATAGAAAGGATGTGGACAAATTGGAGAGAGTCTAGTGGAGGGCAATGAAAATGGTTAGGGGGGCTGGGGCACATGTCTTGTGAGGAGAGACTGGGGGAACTGGGCTTATTTAGTCTGGAGAAGAGAAGACTGAGAGGGGATTTAATAGCAGCCTTCAACTACCTGAAGGGTGGTTCCAAAGAGGATGAAGCTAGACTGTTCTCAGTGGTGACAGATAATGGAAGAAGGAGCAATGGTCTCAGCAAGGGAAATTTAAGTTAGGTATTAGGAAAAGCTTACTCACTAGGAGGGTAGTAAAGCACTGGAGCATGGTACCCAGAAAGGCTGTGGCATCTCCATCCTTGGAGGTTTTGAAGACCTGGCCTAGACCTTGGTTGGGATGATATAGTTGGGGCTGGTCCTGCTTTGAGCAGGAGGTTGGGCTAGATGACCTCTTGAGGTCCCTTCCAGCCCAATTTTCTACGATTCTGTGACCTAGAATAGATAACTGTTATTGGCCTCGACCACCTTCCCATTTAAGAAGGCCTTATTTAGCACCTCCAGCCCTTCCCACACAAGGCCCCTGGCTCTGTTGGCATGATCCTGCATCCAACTTCACAGGTTCCCCAAGGACAAGAAACCTCTCTTCAGCATGCCATCAGGCAAACAGATCTCCTAATACTATATGTAACAGTGCCATCTGACAGTTGGCTGTCAAGAGTGTCTCAGCTTCCTTTTCTTCCAAAAAAGGAGGAAATTCCCAGACCAAAAAATAAATTAAATTAAAAGTTAACATAAAGGTCAGGTTGGCACCATAAATACCACAAACATTAGTGTAAATAAAATGCCAAGTGTGGTAGTTACAGTAACAGGAGCAATATAATTAGAAAAGCTAACTTTTTAAAGAAAGACATGATAATACAGGGTGGCCAACCTGTGACACGAGTGTCACAAATGGCACAGGCAGTCTTTGTGTGTGACACATGACAGATCAGGAAGGGGACAGGCAGCACAGTAGCAGATAGGGCAGGGGGAAGAAAGCAGAGCGGGAGTTCTGGCAGAGAGTACAGGGTATAGAACAGAAAGCAGCAGATTGGGTTAAAGACGGAAATTAAAGTGGCACTCAAGAAAGGTACAGGGTTAATTTGTGGCATATCAACTAAAAAGGTTGGCCCCAATTGTGATAATACGTGTGATAAACTTGAGAAGAGTAGCAGAAGGTAAAGCATCATTCATTCCCTAACATATCTACCCATGTGGAAGCAACTTCAGACATCCCATACTTATCATTGTTTCTATAATAAATTTGTTTTTTTTAGAGGATATTATAAAGTAGACAAGTAAAACCAAAGGGGCAAATGACATCCCTGCATGTAGGACTGAGACAGAAGCACTATTTTGAGGACTTGAATAGTAGTTAGGGCTTCTGCAGAACCTTTTGCACAGGGGTGAATGTGGAAGGGAGAGTGTGAAACAAAGAAAAAATGCTGTATCCTTTTCTTTTTCAGTGCAGAGGCCTTAGTTGCATATGCACTCGTGGAGTCATCAACTACACTATATATTTATGCAATACCCTTTGTCTGGAGAAGTAGCTTGTTCCTCCTTAGGAGCTCTGGGCCAGGCGTGATTCCATAGGATCTTGTTAAGAGTGGAAAATACCTGCCTACCGAATCACAAACCCCACAATGGCTTCTATTGCAGCCACAAACCTTGTATGCAAGAAGCACCTCCAACTTATAGCATTTCAGTTCGCATTTATAGGAATTGTCTCCTGTGGAAATGTGCTGATCTGGCCTACAGAGGCCAGTCACTGGTTAAACATTAAGATCATTATACAGGAACTGATAAAACGAGATCACAATGTCACCATCCTTGTGTCGAATGCTTCTCTTTTTATCAAACCCAAAGCTGAGTCGGCTGAGAAGTTTGAGATATACTCTGTACCCTTTACCAAGAACCACATTGAATCCTTGATCAAAGGAATAATAGGATTGTGGCTGGATAACAAACCTACTACGTTCACTTTCTGGAGGTTTTATAAGGAACTGGGAAAGCAGGTCAGGAAATGGCATGATTTAAACAGACAAATGTGTGATGGCGTGCTAGGCAATCATGACTTCATGGCACAGCTGAAGAGGAGCAAGTATGACCTGCTTCTGTCTGACCCAGTGACTCTCTGTGGTGACCTTCTTGCTGTCAAACTGGGAATTCCCTTTGTGTATTCTCTGCGGTTCTCACCAGCCTCAACAGTGGAGAGACATTGTGGAAAGATGCCCTCCCCGCCTTCGTATGCACCTGCAGTCTTGTCTGAACTTACTGACAACTTGTCATTTGGTGAAAGAATAAAAAACATAGTGTCTTACTACCTCCAGGACTATGTTTTTCAAAGCTACTGGGGAGAATGGGACTTTTACTACAGTAAAATTCTAGGTAAGCCTTTGACCCTTTTGTTTGTATTCTCACGGTTATTTAAAGTCTTAAGTGCTGTTGCATAGAAAAAAAATGTGTTCCAGAATGTGAAGTTTCCAAAGTCAAGTGCTCAAAAGTTATCTAGTGCCACAATTAAAGTTGCCTCATGCAACATTAATCCAGTCCCCTTGATCATGTACCATATCATAATTGAGTTTTGTTCAACATCACACAGTTGAGTCAGAGGTAGGAACAGGACTCTAGTCTGTTATGTTCCAGCATGGTGCCATTACCACATCTTGTCTCCTTCTGTACCTCCTGTGCTCTCAGTGAGGCAAGGGGCCATTAGAACAAATAGTGCCTAATTGTGTAATTAAAGACTACTATAAAGCCTTAAAACAAGGGAGCAGATGGGATTAGGGTTCTCTTATCAGCAGTTCCAGAAGAGAGCATATGGCTAGGGGCACAAGTTCACATAAAGGGGTTTAGGTGATCAGAAACTGGTTTATATTCGTAACAGAGCAAAAGCTCAGTGCACATAAACCAGTTTCAAAATGGCCAAAACTGCTTTAAGATAAACTTGGTTGAATGTAGTATCAGACTTAACTGATTTGGGTCAAACCAGTTTATGAAACTTCTGTCCCAGACCCCTTCCTGGTTCAAGTTAAAGCACAGTCCCCCAGCATGCTTTGCAGCCCTGGGCTGGGCTGTGCTTTCTGCTCCAGAGAGCAGGGTTGGCCTTGCCCCTCTGCTCCCTAGCTGGAGCAGTGAGGGCTGGCTAACAAGGGATGCGTGGGGGCAAGCCTGGCTGGGGATGCAGCCTAGTCTAGCAGGGGGAAAGAGGGAACTCCCCCACCCCAGGCACACCCGGGCTGGAATCTGGGGTCAGGGAGGGGGGTTAAATCCCTTCCCCTGCTTAAACTTACTGCGGGTTGCAACTGTGGACTACAACTCCCAGAGGCACCTGGAAGCAGGAAGAGAAAGTGATGAACACCCTTGAAGAGTCCTGCTTCTGTAATATTGGACTGCAAATCCCAGAGACCTTGGGGCAGCAGGAAGAGGAACTGAACACACAGCCAGAGAGCCATGCTCTATCACCCCCTGGCTTCTGGCCTAAGCCACTGCAGGCATATGGCTGCATTGCCTGAATCAAAGGTAAATGTCTGTTCACTTCTGTTTCAATTTAATCCATGCAGTTTAGACTAACCTGCAAAGACTGAATCGATTCAGCCTCGGGCTTTTTGATTGTCTGTACCTAGCCTATGTGGTTTTCAGTTAACTTCATATGTCCCCTATCTTCTAGGTAGAAGTGTCACTCTCACTTCATGCCTTGTGCCAAATCTGAACCACAGGACTCCTCATGGGCCAGATCCAGCTTGAGGCATGAGGTAGTGGCAGTGGGGCAAGCAGCCACAGCAGGGGCTTGCTGTGGTGGAGGCATGTAGACATGTCCAAACTAGCTTCAAACTAGCCAGTTGAGGTGTTGCACTGCCCTTACTTGCCCCATGCTGCCAATGGCCATATCCACCGGGATCTACCTGACAAGCAAGGAAGTATACCATTTGGCAAATCCCCCCTGTGCCTCTTAGGCTCAGTGGGGAGCTGAAACTGAATATTAGATGGGTTTACATTGCAATCAAAAGTGCAGAAGCATCATATCTAGGCATGCCCAAACTAGCTTCAAACTAGCTAACTCAGGCACTGCTTGCAGTAAAGTCAGCACAGGCCAACTACCTGAGTATTAACCAGGTTTTTGCATGAAACCTCAGGCTGCCACAACTTTGCTGGTTTTGATATCCATGCTAGCTTAATTTAAAACTAGCTCAGGTGTGCCTATACAAACTCTACTTCCATTTAACTGCAATGTAGGTGACATATCCTCAGCTGGGAATCTGAGCATAATGCTCTTATGGTTGAATACAGAAAGGACCATTGGGCTAGACCTTCTAGTCTGACAGCTTCAGTGTACCCTATATTCTTTCCATAAGTCCAAAAAGGCGGCCATTAGCTTTTTGGTTTTTATGTGATCAGTTCTCTTTGTGGTTCTAGGCATTAGGTCATTAGGTCTTGGTAATGGAAGGATATGGCTCCTTCAGTCCAGGAGTAGATTGTGGAACCCCTTGTTAACTGACTTCAGACTTTTCCTACAAAGCCTGTCTTGGCCCCTGCCCACCTTCCCAGTTCTTAGAAGGAGCCAGCTTTAGGGTTTTTTTAGAAACATCTTGTTACTTTAACTATGAAGCGGTTACTCTTGTAATTTCCTCAAACATGAATTCTTTCCTTCTTGAATAATCCCCTAATAAATCCCAGAGTATAACCCCTTTTCTCCCAAATAGCAAGATATATTAGCTTGAAACCTCTTCTATCGTAGAAAGTGCAATACAGGTGTAACTGGGTGAAATGATTTGGTTTATGCTATGCAGAATAGAGGATGTGATAATCCTTTCTTGCTGTAACCAGAAATGACATTCAGATTGTCTCTGTCAGTTCCACAGATCAGACATAAATGAAAGGCTGAAGTAAAATGCATTCTGACCTTTCTTTCCGATATGCCTAATGCACACCATGCTCATGGCAAGCTGGCCTGGTGAGTCAGAGGAATATTCAGACGTTCTCAGCTGGAATACTGAAATCAATAGCAGCTTTGTAACAGATCCCATGCTTACATCACTGGTTATTTAAAACCGATCCTCCCTTTTCAAAACATATTACATTTGTGTACATCATGACCCAAAATAAACAGAGTATTGAGATTTCAGTTCACACAAAGGCTTTGTTCTGAATTGTTGGGAACTGTTGATTGAGCTAACTTGTTTGGCTGCAATAATAATTGACTTGGGTATTAATTACATGCAATCAGTGGTAGTTAGTTCTGTGGAGCCTTTTGGCTTGGAACCTGCAAGTGCTGCGTACCTTCAGCTTTCGTTGAACTCAGCCGCTCACTGAACTTGAGTACTTCTGCAGGATCAAGCCCTTAATTCCTCAGGAAAATTAAATGTATTATTGAGAGTACAGGGTATCATGCGACTCGCCTCAGCTTCCCATCGCTATTCCATTACAATAGCTGTCAGATTTCTTTGGGAAGAAAGGAATGAGAATGAAAGAGGAAAGAAGAAGCCAAACAATACTATCAAGTGGTAATGGCAGACCCTGTGATACAATACAACTTGGCAAACAATAAGCGTTATAGTTGGACAGGGTTCAGAAGCTTTTGTCTTCTCACAGTGAAATGGACTTATCTCTTAATTGTGAAATAAAAGGATTGTCTGGACAATGGGATTGTATTGTTTACCAGACATTCAAGCCCTGTCTACGATACAGTACTGTCACCTAGTGGCATATAGGGGCAGCATACGTGTCTTATAAAAGGGATTGTCTACAGCAGTGGGGTCCAACCCTTTTGACAGGTATGAAACAAATTAAGCCTTGTGCCTTCCCTAAGTGCCGTGCTAATCCCCTTCCCTTGCTCAATCTGTTGCTCTGCTTTCTTCTCCCTGCCCTATCTACTGCTGTGCTGCCTGTCCCTTCCCAGTTCGCTGTGTGCAATGCATAGAGCCAGCCAATGTGGGGCTAGTGTCATGCTGGCTCTTGGTGTGCAGGAGATGGTAGATGCAAAGCACTCTTATTCCTGAATAAGTGTCCAAACATGGAGTTAACCAGGACCAAGTCTAAGTGAAGGCATTCTCACTGGGCCCCCCACTAGTATAGACATCCCTTTTTATAAGAGATGTCTTGAAAGGTTGGTAAACAATACAATTTCACTGTCTTGGCAATACCTTTATTCCACAAGTAAGAAATAAATAGATGGGGGAGCTGCTGCAGTAGTTAGAGCAAAAAAGCAACATGTTAAAGGCAACCCATTTTACTGAATGGTTGGTTGCTGCTTTCTGTAGCTTTCAGAGTTGTTTTGGGGTTTGTGATTTCATTACTAAGTAAAATAATGAATCTCAGTAACCAAGCTGGGTGGTCACAAGTGCAAGAAGGTCTTCTGCCTGATGTACTGGCAGGACACTCAGGAGGCTTGGGTTCAGTGCCTACCTTTGCTGCAGACTTCCTGTGCAACCCCTGCCAAGCAGCTCAGGAACACTAACTCCATCCTGTTCTTGAGCTTGCTGCCAAGAAGTAAGCTTTGCCCACCCACTCCTCATTCACATGCTCCAAACCTGAAATGCAGGTGGTGGGGAGCAGAGGCAACACAAGCTCTCTCAGCACCGGGGGTGGTGGGAGAGGAATTTTACACTGAGCCCCAACAGTTGGTAGGAGGGGGGCGGGGGGGAGGGGAGGAATCTTACCTGCCCAGATACTCCTCATTTGAATGGTCACTGCTACTGCTGCTGCTTCAACAGCATGGACTGGCAGCGTTCTGAGCTCTCTGGGGACCCTCCGGCTGGGTTATGCAGAGCTCCATGTGTTGTGGAAAGTCTCTTAGGGGCCTGGGTCAATTCTGCTGCCCCCTCTAAGTTGGCACCCAAGGCTGGTGCCCCTCTCACCCCACCCTCATTACACTACAGGTGAGGGTGCTCTGTGGGTACCCTTTTACTGCCACTCCTAAGATCCCTTTTTCTGACAAACCAATAAAGAGGTAGAGTAAATGCTTTCATTGGAGCTGTAAGTTTAACCCAGGTCATATATATATGTTTGTTATTGTTACCTATGGTGAAAAATGACTGTCTAGAAATTCACTCTTCAGGTACAGCTTATTTTTTTCCTATTCTTGAGAGGGCCAGACCGTCTCAGCATGTTGGTTGTCCCCCTGTTTGAAAACCATCCCCTGGATGCTACATTGAGCTGTTATGTGCTGAGCACATTTGAAAATGTAGCCCTTTTTGAGACTATTTTAGAAAATCTAACCCCTAGATCTTCAGGGAACTGAAAGTGTAAACCAGCAGGAGTAACACCAAAATAGAACCAGGACCCCAGAGACAGCTGCAGAAACTAAGGGCTAGCTGAAATCCAAAACTAAGAGTTCTATACTACCAAGTCTATTATAACAACACCAGCAAAGCTGCCTAGTAGAGACACATGCTTACAAAAAAGGGTTCTTTTGCCAGCAGAGTTATACCACCTGCCCAAAGACGAAAGTATATCAGCAAAAGGGCTCATAGTTATGACACTTAGCTTGCAGGGTGGACTTGACCTAAAACAATCCTGCAAACTGATGTGCACATGCAAACTTTTGTGCCCATGTGAAGATCCACTAATACCAATGCATGCCCCTGCAGTCCAGTTCCAAAATCAAGAGCTTGGTCTGTGTCTTTTCAGCTCTTGCTTTCCTTTCATCGCAGTAGTTTACACCCTTTGCATTGCAGTGGACTATTATATATTGAAAAGCACAGAATGTGGAAAAGCTTTTTGAAAGCAGAAAGGCAAGGTAAGGTGTAAAGGGCTGAATTTAGAAAGTATTTAAGTACTTAAGTAAGGGTAGATGCCTTTTCAACAGGCAAGAAGCCAGCAGATATTAGGGCTAGGGACAGAAGTTACACACAAACTGGTTTAAGTGATTAGAAACAGGTTTTAAACTGTAACAGAACATAAGTTCAGTGCACATAAACCAGTTTCAAAATGGCCGAATGTGGTTTGAGATAAACCTGGTTGACTGTAGTATTAGACTGAACTGATTGAGCTCAAACTGGTTTATGCATCTTCTGTCTCAGATCCTTTCCTGGTTTCACTTAAACCAGAGTCCTTCAGCATCCCAGCATGCTCTGCAGGCCTGGGCAGGGCTGTGCTCTCTGCTCCAGCAGAGCAGGGCTGCTCTGGCCCTCTGTCCCGGCCCCTCTACTGCTTAGCCAGAGCAGGAACTGGCAGAGGTGGAGGTGTGGCCAGATGCCAGCTGCCCTAAGGTGAAAGGAGCAGAGATTTATTCTTCTCCCTCCCCTGTCCCACTAGCATGGACCCCTGCCAGGCATTTCTTTGCTTGCTGCACCATCAGTGTGGGCATGGCCAGCCCCAGCAGTAGCCTCAAGTGAACTGGCCAGGGAGGGGGTTTAATTCCCCCCTCCCTGTCCCACCAGCATGGACTCGAACCAGGGTCCACCTGGTGCTCCCCCTTTGCCACTGCAGGGGCAGGGACATGGCCAGATGCCATCCGGCATGCCCCCTGAGGCAGAGGGGGCAGGAAAGGGGTTTATTTCCCACTCTGTCCCCGGGGCACTGCAGCTGGGGTCTGCCTGCCCTGATTGCCACCGTCACCAATCACTCCCTGTGTGGAGTGAGCAGTGGAATAAGTCCCCCCCCTGACCCCTCTGCCAGACACTGGAGGGTGGGGGAAATAACCCCCCTTCCTGCCCTCTTCCCCAAAGGGGCCATACCACTGGAGCGGCGAGGAGGGAGCAACCCTGATGGGGACAGCACCCCCTTTCATGGTTTTCCAGGAGCTCAAGCCTCTTCCTGGCAGCAGGGGAGGGCTGTGCTGCAGGCGAGAGTAGGGTGGTCAGAGCTGCTGCACCCTGCATAGGGCAAGTGGAAGCACTGGGGCTGAGGGGTGGCCTTAGCCCCCCAAGCTTTGCCTAGCACTGCTGCTGCTTGCCCCACGCAGTCTATGGCAGCTCTGACCGCCTCACAGTGCAGCCCCCCACCGGGAAGAGGCTTGCAGGTCCCGGGACACCATGAAGAAGGGCTGCTCTCCCCATCAGGGTCCCTGCCCCCTCATCACTCCATTCAGGGCAAGCTTATTCTGCTGCTTGCCCTGTGCAGGGAACGATTGGCGGCAGCAGTGATCAGGGCTGGCAGACCCTGGGTATGGTCCTCCGGGGCCAGAGTGGGGATTAACCCCTCTCCCTGCCCCCCCTGCCTCAAAGGGCCATGCCAGCCAGCGTCTAGCCATGCAGCTGCAGCAGCAAGGGGGGAGTGCTGATCCTGGACCGGGTCCATACCCGTGGGAAGGGGGGGGGATTAAACCCCTTCCCTGGCCAGTTCACTTGAGGCTCCTGCTGGGGCTCCCATGGCCCCCCAGCACAGTTTCCCAGCAGCTGAGGGCAGCTCTAGTACCCCCCGGCCCCAGGCTTGAGCCACTGCAGGTATGTTGCTGCATTTCCTGAATGTTTATTCATTTGCAAATTGTTTCCATCTAGGCAGGTTAGACTCACCTGCAAAGATTGAATCAATTCAGGCTCCAGCTTTTTGAATGTCTGTCTCTAGCCTAGGTGCCTAATTGCTTATGTGCCTAGTGGGGTTTATAGACACCTACCTGCCTGCTTGGATACTCTGCAAATCAGACCTGTTACTCTCACTGAAAGTCAGTGGCATTTGGGTTTTGAACTCCTATTTGCACCTTTGAAAATCTCCCTGATTTTAGAAATCACAGAGAACAGCAAGCTCCCAGTATGAGCTGCCATTAACTTCTGATAAGGAGGACTCTGGTATTTGTTCATTCCATGTTGAGTACAACTCCTGTTCAGGTTTTCCAGAAGCAGAAAGCTGATGAATAAAACACAGAGGGTTTGTTACTGATAGGATGAATTTTTTATGACTTACTCCTGAAAGGCAGGCTCCTACATAAAGGCAGTCCCTGCCCATCCTCAGCTGCTGCAGCTATGCTATCTCTGGCATGCATCAGCAAAATATTTCTTTGCCTCTCTTTGCTGGCTAAGAGCTCGTGCCCTGGGAATGTTCTTGTTTGGCCTGCTGAGTACAGTCATTGGAGGAATCTGAAGATAGTGGCTGAGGAACTGGTGGGCAGGGGCCATAACATCACAGTGCTGGTCCATTCAGCATCCCTTTCTGTCAATGCAACTTCGACTTCTGCTCTTCATTTTGAAACCTTCGAAATCAACTTTACTGCTGGTGAGCTGCAGGCACTGTGGGAGAGATTCCTCTGGTTTTGGATCTTTGAGAAATCTCAGCTCTCCTTCTGGCAGATGCACAGCACAATGAGAAACCTTTCTCGGAGCATTACTACCTTGCACAGACAGATATGCAATGGGGCAGTAAAAAACAGGAAGCTGCTGGAAAAACTGCACTCATCCCACTATGACATCCTCCTCACGGATCCAGTAATCCCCTGCGGTGAGCTGTTGGCGGTGATGCTGAGACTCCCCTTTATCTTCACCCTACGGTTTTCTCCAGGGTTTGCATTTGAGAGGCTGTGTGGTCAAGTGCTAGCTCCTCCTTCTTATGTACCAGCTGCCACTTCCCAGCTACAGGAAAAGATGTCCTTCCTGGAGAGGACTCAAAACCTATTGCTTTACTTCATGCATGACATACTGCAGCTCCTGGTTTGGAAGGAATGGGATTCGTATTACAGCCGTGTATTGGGTGAGTTTCAATAAGTACCCACCCCTGCACGTGAAGTCAGTGGGTAATATAAGATGGCCTAGTGATTGAACTTTGTACAGGGGTGGACCTTAAATAGTGTAAACTGACTTTAGTGGAGCAGCACTGGTTTACACAAGCTGAAAATGTGGCCCTGTCAAGGTATTTTTCACTGGAGAGGAAACTCGTATATGAGTCGGAAGCAGGGAAAAATACTCAAAGGTCTCTGTGTCTTTTGGGTGAGCTAAGACTTCAAGAAGGCATTTAAAGCCAGTGACAAAGATTTTTCTCTGACACTGATGTAACTCAGGAGTACCTGTAGACAGTAGGATTCCATTGGTCTAAACAGGTGGAAATGGGGGGGAAATGAGTGTCCTGCTTCAAGGCATGTCCAGTGAATCCATGTTGACCTCTGTCCCCCATCCCCTTCAGCATTTCCGTGGTCTAGGTCGAACATAGTCCATTCTAGTGAAGGATGTGTAGCAAGTGGTGGAGACTGGGATCTCTTCAAGCTGTGAGGGTAGCTCAGGAGTGAACAAACTAGAGGTGGATGGAAAGAATCCCGTGGGATTCTAAGTGAAATGCAAGCTTTCCAGCTGAGCAGAACCCAAGGTTTAGTGATGGCATGTCAGAAGACCAGACTGTTGAACTGCTCAGTGAAGAGGACTTGAGTATGAACGGGGTCCAAATGAACATAAGAAGTACCATACTGGGTTAGACCATTGGGTAGACCAATGGACCTTTGAACTCAGTATCCTGTCCCCAATAGTAGCAGGAGTGGATGACAAGAAGAGGATATGAACGGGGTATATCTAGAGTGATTTCTGTCTGTCATCCCCTCTCTCTTCTCATACCTTCCTGGCGTACAGCACCATTAGTTTAGAGGTGCCAGAGGATACACCCTGGACTGTTCTATTTTGTAGCTATTAATGTAGTGATTGTCAATCAGGACAACAATGACTGGATATTGTAGTGTCAGGCATATAGAAATTAAATGTGGATGACTGAAAGACAAGGGCACACAATAGACGGGAATAGATGAAGATAGTGGAGGCAGCCAAGGGACTCTAGGGCCTATAGTGCATTATTATTATTATTGTTATTGCTATATGCTAGGGCACCCTGAGTTACCTTAAGATCCTTTCAAGGGTACTGCGGGGTGCTATGCCAAGATAGCACTGTTGGGTATGCAAATATAATTCACAGGGTAAACCCAGCAATTTCAAAGAGGAATCCATAGTGTTCAATGCATTCGGACCTGCTATGGGCTTTCTGAGTTCTTTGCAACAGAAAAATGTCTCTATTATTTTTTTCTATAGTCAAAAAATGAGTTAGAACTAAAAGTTGGCATTTTACAAGGGCTGCCTTGAGTCTTAAAAGGTTGAGAGCCACTGTATTAATGAATCTATCATCCATGAATTTGTCTAGTCCCCTCTTGAACCTGGCTATGCCATCTGCCTTTATAACCTCCTGTGATAATGAGTTCCATAGGTTAACTATGTGCTGCATAAAAAAAGCAATTTCTTTTTTTAGTTAAGTTTTACATTCTACTGTTAAAACGCTATAGATTGTTTGGATCCTTGCTGTACAATGCTGCAGTGCTTCTTGTAAAAGCCAGGCCAGCCTTATTTTAATTGCACTTGTATACTACTGTTTGTGCCTTTGTGATGTTTAGTCCTTGGCTAGCTAAGAGCTCTGATAGCAGGTTGCTAAAGAGTCTGGATGGGGCTTGGCAGATGAATGCCAATGATTCATGTATGTCATGAGGGGGCTAGCCATTCTGCTGGGGGAAGGGAGAAACATCAGGTTGGAGGCACCAATAAAAGTGAGTTTTTGCAAGCCAACCACACAGCACGCTGCTGGATTTAGGATGTTGGAAGCAAGGCAATATTATATTGTACAAAATTTGGTTGTTAAATGCCTTTTGAAATTGCTTCACAAACAAATTAAAAATGTACCCATTTCCATCATTCTTCCCAGTATAAGTTGAAAAAAAATATTCAAAATACATAAAAACTTCCTGGGATAAGAAAACCATCTCCCAGATAGCTTTATTTTGAGCAATAATCATTCTATTTCCATTTTATCTTTTAAAAATATTTAAGCCCCTGATTTCATTGGAAACCTAAAGGTAACCACAAATGAAACGTGTGTCCTCCTTGGTAACTACGGGGCTAATTAGGTGCTATCAAATTTGGTGTTTTCCATAGCAACTGGGTTCCAGTTTAGCATGGACAGCTCTTTGTTTTATTTATTAGGGCTGTGTGAAACAGCACCATTCTGTTTTGATGGAGCAGCGTTTCGTTTAGAATTTTGTTTCAATTCGAAACTGCTGTTCCGTTTCATTTCTTCAAAACAGTTTCACTGTTTCAACATTTTGCCCATAGGCTATAATGGGGAAACTCAAAACAGCCTATAACTTTGTCATTTCTGGCCTGATTTGGATGAAACTTGCAGTAATGGTAGCCCCTTCTGAGGACATGAAGCGTGCCATGTTTCAAGGAGATAGGTGCAGGGGTTTCAGGGAAACTGCACCTCAAATTCTTGAAAGCAAAAAACTCATGTCACATGTACGTGTTCAGCTACAGCAGGATCAAAACTGCAGGGATGGTAGCCCCTGCTGGGGCAGCAAAGCCTGCCAAGTTTCAAGGAGATAGGTTTAGGACAAGCAAAACTCATGACATGGGTGACACTGTGTGTGTTAAGATGCAGCAGGCCTGCTAGCCCCTGTTGAGGCTACAAAGCCTGCCAGCTGTCAAGAGGATAGGTGCAGGGGGGTTCTGGGGCCCTGCACTTCTAGCTGCTGACAGACAACACTTGTGACATGGGTGGGTGACACTGTGTGTGTGTTAAGGTGCGCCCTCACTCAATTGACACCAAGGCAGAAAGCAGGGCGGTTCAAACAATGCTGCCTTTTATGCACATTTTCCATCCCTCCCCCAGAGCACTGGGATTGGAAGGGACCTCAGGGAAGGGTGAAAGTCACTGGCCAGCTACATAGTCAATAATGAGAGCAGTCCTTCCCCCTTCTTCCCCCTCCTTCTCCTTATTTCAATTTCTGTTTCCCTGCAGGCAAGCCCAGCTTGAACTTTGAAACTGGAAATGTTTCAAAAATTTCAAAACATTTCGACTTGCCTCGTTTCATTTCGAGGCTGTTTCGAAGCTCTCTGTTTTGTTTTGATTTTGCTGTTTCAAGCTCAAAACGAGTTGAAGTGAAACTGCTGGCAAAATTTCGCACAGCCCTATTATTTATGTCTAGTGCGGCAGACCTGACAATAGCCAGTATTTGTCACCAAATCACAATGAATCCTGGATTCCTTCCAAAGATAACTCCAAACAAATAACAAGGATAGTGCACTTCCATTATTTTCTTTCACATGGTATAACATTTCTTTAGAGCAGCACCACCATGCATGACTTGTAATGCATCCTTCCTTGACTTGTAATACATCCTATTTCACTTGCCTTAATAAAGCAGAGCCTCAGTTTTCCAAAATAAGGTCATGCTTACAAATGGCTATTGAGGAGGGTTTGTTTATACCCAGAATTTGCATCAGTTTAAACTAATTATGGGTTTTTTAAAATGTGAATTAGTTAAACCCACTTAATTTGGTTTGCGTGGTCTACTTTCATTTACTGGTTCCTAACCAATTTAAACTAAATGTGATGGGTATCCAGAGCAGATATGGCCCTGAAGACCTTGCTTAGCGTTTAAAAGTGAAGTTGGCTCTTGATCCTTTGACCCTGGGGCAATGGAATTCAAAAGATTTGACCAGACAGGAACACTGGAGGGGAATGTTGCCTTGTAGAGGACCATTTATACTGGTAGTTACTAGGCCTGTGCAAAGTGGCTAGTATTTGCTTTGGATTCAGATTCAGCTGATTTGGGGGACAGTGATTCGATTCGGTGATTCGAATCACTGTCCCGATTTGATTCAGCCGAATCTGATTCGGAGACTGAGCTGCTGCCAAATCTCTGAATCACCCAGGCCCATCCCCTACCTGCTCTCCCAGCCCGGCAATGACTGCCCTGCTGGCCCCAGCTCCCAGCACTTGGAAAAAAAAAAAAGCCCCAAATCACTGCCGAGCAAGGTGTGATCCCCACTGCCTCTACTGCATGGGGGGCCCTGCACAATCCCCTTGATCCCCCCACTGTCCTAGCCCCCCACATGGCTGCCCCGCCCGCCCCAGCTCCAGCCCTTTAAGAAAAGAAAAAGCGAGAAAAACCCTGGCACTCACCGTTTGTGCCTGGCAGGAGGCGATCCCCACTGCCCACTGCTGGCCCCTGCCACATGAGCCCCCTGAAGCCCCGAGGTCACTGCAGGAGATGGTAAGTCCCGGGGTTTTTCTCAGTATTTTTTTTCTTAAAGGGCCAGAACTGGGCTGGGCAGCTGTTGGGGATGGGGAGGGGGTTGGTTGGCGGGCTCATGCAGAGCCCCCACATGGTGTGGGGCAGTGGAGATGGCCCCCCACCCAGCAGCACCCGGTGAGTCGAGGCTTTTTTTTAAAGCACCAGGAGCTGGGGCAGCTGTGGGGGGGCTGGGGGAGCGTGTGAGGGTCAGGGAGGCTGGAGGAGCAGGTAGGGGATGGGGCCTGGCAGGGGTCCCCCCATGGTCCCCACCCCTACTTACTAACGCCTAGTCCGGCTGCAGTTCCATGCTGCAGCCACTGGGGACTGTCCGAATCGATTCAAAGCTCTCCGAATCTTTTCTGAAGATTCAGAGAGCTTCAAATTGATTTAGAACTTTTAACTGGTCCCCTGATTCAATTCGGATTTGGAGATTTGGCCACTGAATCAGTCCGAATCTCCTCTGAATCAAATCTCCACCCGAAGCTTCGCAGAGCCCTAGTAGTTACATGTGTGTTCACTAACATTGTCCTGATAAAATACCAATGGGAGGCTCACCAGGCTCCTGAAGGGGAACGGTGTTGCTAACTCTCATGATTTTTGGCGTTGTTCTTAAAGTCTACGCTTTGGAAATGTGAAAAACTTAGCTCTTTCT